ACCATGAAAACAATCATTCCATGACCCTAACCACTTGGTAATTATCGTAACAACAATAACAAACCTCCCCTAACCTCAGCAAATCAGTAATTTTAATCCAAAGCACGGACCAATGTTGTCACATCATAAAACAGATATGCAATCCGATACCAGTGCTTTCTTTTTCACTTTTTCAGTGTAAAATCTGTATACCTCACTGCATGAAACTCACAGGAATTGTCTTTATGTAAGATAACATGAGGATAGGGATTGCTGTGGCACTGGCTTAGATCTAGAGTTGGTTGCTGGGTGTCGTACAGTGGCTGACCACTGCTCCTACTACTTAGAATGGGTTAAATGCAGAGGACAAATTTCACTCTACACTGTACTGTGTATGATTGTACATGTGACAATAAAGTTGATTTATATTCTAATGGCCAATAACCAAGCATCTCCATCTTTTAGCATTACATTTTTAACCACCCACTCAATTGGTCTAGGTAAAATCGTTTACAAAAAAATAGCAAACTAAAATGCTCAAATATGAAGTAACACCTGGTGTTAACGTAGGAAAACTTTAAATGATACTATAATATTTTCTTTTAATTAATTAAAGCTTGACTTCATGTTATTTTAGATAGATAAGTGGGAAAAATAAGTTTAACATTTAACAGAGTGACCAGTGTGCTTTTAGAGTACAGAAGGTCATAGGACCTCCTAGCGACAGTAACTGCTCAACATCTCTCTTTTCTTTTCAATTTTCACTGAAAATGTCAAAATGAAATTAAAAGAGAGTAGGATTTCTTTCTAAACTAAAAAAAAAAACAATTCTATTGATTTTATAATAATTCATCCATTGTTTCATGAAACAAGAATTTACATGGATGGTTCATTTTATGTTGTTCATCATTATGCACAGATATCAAACTGCCCTGCACATCATGAAAATATGAACCTTTGATAAATGCATGTAATATTTAAACTCTTGAATCATTAATGACCTTGAGAGCTAACTAGTGTGCTTAACACTGCAGCTGAGAGGCTCATCATATTGGCCACAAACCTCGGGTGTAAAAGCAATTTACTCATAAAATGTCCAAATGCTGCTTGTATATCATCACTCCTCTGTACACTGACGCAAAGTATATATTTGTACACATGCATGTGCATGCATATATGTGAGCTCAAGCCATGGTGCATTTAGAACTTGCTGTGACAAGGACACTGTATGAAGCAAACCTAACATAAGGACAAGCTTGCTGGTTTGGACAGAGAAGTCTGGCATTTCTCCATCTCACAATCATTATGTGCTCAGCCCCTTTTATGCATGAGAGGTTGTGCCCCAGAATGTGTGGAGTCTGTATATCATGTTAATATTTTGTTTAGCAGATTTACTTGAACACCAGTACAAACTCCGGCAACACTATTCCCAGCAGGGTCAATTACTTCGGAAATGCCCTCAAAACATGCAGCTCTTCTGCCATAAAACATTGCATCATCATCAGCCAATCACAAGGCGGCATTCATAGGGCTTTGTGTGGCAGAGACCTAGGGAATAAGCAGGTGCGTAAGTACAAAACAATGACTCTACAAACATACTAAGATCCACACATGGCTGCATGCTGCTGTCAATAACACATGCTGGATTTAGTAATTGACAAACATTTCTACCAGAATATCATATTACTTGTGATCTGATCCGTATGTAATGTCTTCAACAAAGGCAAGGATAGAGGTGGTTCAATTGAGTTTGTGTCCTTGCATGTCAGGAAAATCTCTGACAGACACATAATGACATGACCCAGTACAGTCCACCCATCTATTGCTTTCAGTATTGTCCTCTCAAATGAAAAGAAGGTAAACAGAGCAGCAGCACTCAGCTGTTTTCAAAACACAATCTATTATCCTATCAGAAAAGCATTTACCTGCTTCTCTTTCCTGATGCTATCTCCGTGAAGCTTAAATCAGTTTGCACTATGATGGAAATATGAATTATCAATATCAGACCGAAATATGACGTTTGACTTAACTCACTAATCGAAATCTACCAATGTTTATCCTCCTTCATCCAGTTCATCCATCTGCAGTATTGAGTGTGTCATCGTGTTGCCAACATGTCTGCGCCAATGTTCAGTAAAAATCCTCGTTTTCTGTGATCAAATTCTAATATATCAGAGAAAATACAGCAAGCTACTGTGGCCAAGACGTTACCACATTACCTCATACTTTCAGTCTTAGTCCAAATGGTACTGGACTGAGTTTTTATCCAGTAAATCACAGCATGTTACCATACAAATACATCCTATTCCTTATCACACTTCATCTACACCCCCACTATGTTTTTGTCTTTGGTAGTATTCTCCTTTCATACAGTATAACACCACTACAACATGCACTGTAACACCATCTCAGTCACTGCAGCCCCCCCAGACACGGTTCTGGCTTTGCCTCACTGGAGAGGATCAGCAGATAGACAGACGTGTGTTGACATAAACCTCAGCTGAACATACGAGGTATAACATGGAGGCATAAAGCTACCAGGATCTGCCGTCTCTGCACAATGGCAACATTACGATAAGCATTAGCTCTCCGGCAGGCTAATACTGGGCTTAATGCTTGACTCTGCTTAATCTATTCTTCATGGTTTAGCCTAGCTGTGTGAACTGGTACAACTCTAATGGGTTTATAAAGATGCTTCTATATTTGCTTTGGTAGGCAGTGGTTAAACTGTGACTACTAAATGTAAATGGGATTCTTCTTTACTGGCCAACTGGCAAAGCTAAGTCTGATCTGGCAAATTGCCGGCTCACTGGTGGCCTGAATGCACAGCCCAAATATTAGCATGGTTTGTGGTTTGGATGCTTTAAGTTAAATTAGTAGCATAAATTGCCACCAACAGCAATGGTAATCTTGAGTACTGTAGGTCCATACAGCTAGAAATCCTTTGATACAGCACAACTGTTCTGTGCCTCTATAGAAACAGAAAGTCATTGCTTTAACATTCAGCCAAGAAAAAAAAGACACCCATGGCTCAGTATTCAGCCTAATCCATGTCAATCCCTCAAAGATAGACACTGACTACAGACAGAAATCCAAGGACAAGCTTTACAGTGGTAACTACAAAAAAATCCAATAGACCCACAGACCTCTAGCCAGTGCAAAAGGTCTCATGACACTGCAGCATGTGTCTGCCCTCACCTAAGCCTCAAACTGATTTCCTCTGCCTTTAAAGAGACCGATAAGGGCGTCTGACAAGAGAATTAAAATATCAACTTGGAGAAATGAGAAATGAAACCTTATAAAGGTCACCCAGCAAAAAGGCGAAACACAGCAACCAAAAACTGAACAGACAAGTTGAGGGCATCAATATTCTCCCCCAAACACATCTGAGAAAGAGCAAACAGCAAGCAAACAGGTTTAAAGAGCTGTTTACTATTCAACTGTTGAACCTTTGCAATCATCCAAGTAATGAGCTCATTTAGACACTCAACACTGTTAAAGAGAATTATGCTGCTGTTAGCCACCACAAGACCTCGGCATCACAACTTACCTGTCCATCTGCGTGCCAGCCCTTTTTTCGTCTTTCGTTCTTTCAAACTTCCTTTCATTCTTTCCCCGTCTTTCATATCCTCTGTCTCTTGTCTCGCTCCCCTTCCCCCCACTAGCTACCAGACTGTCCCTTGGTGAGAGGCAAGCAAGGTATGAACAGGAGGGGAGGAAGAAAGGAGGGATAAATAGGTGAGGGAGAAGGAAGAGTTAGAAGGGAAATGAAGGTGGATGAATTCCTTGAGCTGTGCTGCGCTGCCCCTTCTCTGAAAAGTGAGCATTCGTGCCTTTCCCCACTTCTCTCTTTATTTCTTTGCATCTTGATAGTGGATACTTTTTCTCTGCCTGTCAGTGAAGCCTTTCAAACCCAACAGGGTTTCAACTTGCCTCAAGTATATTCTTTTTTACTTTAACCCCCATACCCTTGCATTGTTTTTGTATCATTTGTCCCTACGTTTACACTCCCTCTTCCTGGAACACAGGTGTCATACATGTCAAATGTAAATTTGCCATACACTGCAATATATAATAAACAATATACACTTAACACATCTGGCGGCAAATATGACTGCCTCTCACCAGAAATAAGAGACATTCAGTTGATTTTGAAGCAAAGCATTATCAGGCTGCAAAGCAACTAGTATTTTACCAAAGGGATTGTAAAAGAGAGTGAAACAGAGAGATTAAAAGATTGAAAGAAAAAAAAGAGAGAGAGGCCTAAAGGGAACAGAGAGAGCATCACATGAAGGAGTTGACCCACCCGATCATCCATTTACAATACCATCCCCCATTCACTCTAGGCAAGCTGCCTAGTCCCCTCATTAAGATACCAGTGCATTGACCAATTCCTTTATTTGTCGTATCAATATTTGTTTCTTCTCTATCTTATTGTCTTTTTTCACGCACACCCTTTGGAGCGCTTTGCTTCCCAGAGGTCGTCCATGTGGTTGACAGCAGCAGTTGCAATCACCACTCCAACACACACACACATACAGAGGCAAGCACAATCACACTTTCACACTTTGCGCTCAACTACACACATGACAAAAATCAAGTCACCTCCCTCTCTCTTACACACACACACACACACACACACAGACTCACACCCACAAGCACCACCTGCTTCACTGATGGTACTTCTGCTCTACAACAGCCCCCTCCCATTTCTTGCTGCTCCCACAAATGGTGCCTCCACCCAGTGTTTTCCAACACCTCCAGCACCTCATCTTCGTATTCAACATCCCTGCAAGCCTCTCCCCTGGCACCTCACTCCTAACCTACTACCCATTAACTGATGCTACCTTACGGCATCACACTCCTCAAGCGATGCCGCGCTCCACGAGCCCTCAGCCCAACCCCCATCCCCTGCTTTCACAGAGTGTGACAGGAGGACAGCCAGCTGGTTGGATAGCACAACACGCAGAATCAAAAAGATACCTGCTACACAAGTATGCATGGAGATAGGGTTGACATGCCTTGGGATGGTGCATTGCCCATGCTGCGACACGGACGGCTGCAGCTGAAAGTGATCGCGTTTCCTGTTCCCCCTCCTCTTTTTTCCTCTCTCCTCCTCCCTCCTCCTGTCCCTCGCTTTCTGTTCTTCACAAAGTGCTGGATCTCTCGTTCCTTGTGCCGGTCCCCGCGCTCCTATTCGCTCCTCTCCTTCTACCGTCCTCCTTCCCTTTGTCTCGCGCTCGCTCTGGCTTTCTCTTTCCTCCGCTGGAACCTCCTTCGCGAGATGGCTGTGGTCCAGCAGCGGCGCTCCTGACAGGCACTGCGCGTGTGTGACTGCGAGCACGTGTGTGTGAATATGTGTGTGTGTGTGTGAGGGAGAGGTTGAGTGGGAGAGCCTGAGTGTGTGTGAGAGAGAGAGAAAGAGAGAGGGGCGTACTCTTCGGCAGTATGAGCCTTGGGAGACTGTGCATGCCGGTGCAGGGATGCTCAGCACACAGCTAAGAATGAAGCACAAATTTTGCCTATGATAAATTCACACTCCCTCACCCACTCTCTCTCACTTGCTCACTCCATGCCTTATTTCCTCCCCATTACACATTATAGTCTCGCTCTCTCTCTTAAAGATACAGGCAGCACGCTGCATTGCTACACGCCTTCGGCACATCTCATGATATGGTAATAAAGGGGAGTCCAGGGACATGGTCCTGTGTGGGGCTCAGCAGCTGAGCTAGCAGGGGGCGGGTGGAGGAATGCTTGGAGCATCTACTGTACCAGGAAAGGGGGAGGATGGGGGAGGGTGGTGGTGGTGGTGGTGAAGCAAGGAAGGGAGAGACAAGAGTGAACACTTGAAACATCCCCTAGTGACAACAGCAACTAATGATGAAGCTGTGTTGGGCCCGGGGCGAGGTTGTAAAAGATTGGCATGGCAACCAGAGCGCAGTGGCAGGTGAGAATGACGAGAAGGACGCCACAGGAGGGCAACCTTAGCATTACTGTGGCCTGTGGCTCTGCCCTGCTGGATGTTTGTTTTCAAGCATAAATTATTGTTCTGCAATCACAGTCCATAAGTAGGGCAGTGTTCTATTCTATTCAAGAATGTCCTTGAAACACAATGGGGAAAATCTATACTGAAATCAATCATGTACAATACTGTATCTGATAGAGGACAAAAAAAGGACAAAAAATGAGCTACAAGTAGCAAAGAGAAGCCAACGGATGGAGTGATACACGGTGAAGACCGTGGAAACCGTCAGGTGTTGTAGATGAGAGAGAGTATTGCTGTCAAACAGAGAGAGGCTCTAGTAGCTAATGGGTGCTGATGAATTAGGAGAGTAAGAGGGGGAGAGAGAGGGGGAGAAAGCAAAATGCCAGGAGATGGAGAGATAAAAGAGGATGGAGGAACATGATGAGAGTGATGAATAATGTATGGTCAGGCTGCACATGACTTACACAGCACACTGGCCTGTCCGTCATGTCCAGCTGGCTCACAGACTCAGGAAGAGGATACATCAGCTTGTCAGCCGGCGCTTGTCCACCTGAGCCAAAAACAAAACAGAAGCCTGCAACAGCACAAATTTACACATCATTTTTTTAAGCTGAAGTTAAGGTAAGGAAAGTTTAAAAGAGTATCTTCTAGATGTCAATGTCTACTAAAGTCTAAACAAATAGAAAGATCCTTTACAAGTGTGATGGAATGCGTCCAAGGTAATCAAAATGTCATCATATTTGGCAAAAACACATCAAGTCCATGTGTAATAGCACAAAAACATGACCTTATATGCCTCAACAATGGATGCCCTATATTACACAAATGTCAAAGTGTATTCACAGACGTAATATTAGATATAAATGTAATCCAGCAAAATCGTACATGGATAAAAGGTAATTGAATGTTGTTAATGTATGTATACTGTGTATGCAGGAGAACAAGGACAGGCTAATGTTCAACATGCTTTACTACATTGTGAGAGATCTAAATTGAAGCCATTTTGTTCTGGCTGATGGTGTTGGTGGTGAAAATGAAGTTGCCCAATGGGGGTTGGTTACTATTTATAGCAGATGATCCAATATTGAGACTGGAATATTTTTAATCAAATTAGTTTTTAAGTGGCAACAAGTAAGATTTTACTTCCTAGAGCACATGATGACATGTCTGCAGGGGGGTAATCAGTTCAGTAGGTGATCAGTACCTTAATAACATCACAGGTGTTATATTAGTAGCTTATACTCTCAGTGGTGCCAAAACCCTGATCAGTGAAATTCTGACAGGACTAGAGGCTATGCTGGAGACAGACTTCAAACTAGTAACTTTAGAAATATTTGATTACTTACTGCATTTATATCTGCACCAAAACATCTGTTCAGGAACCAAATATCCCATTATCTAAAATACAATTCATTATTCATTTAATCTTACACCAGGACTCCAGCACACTTGCAGGAATATGGCACTCAGCCCCAATCACCCTTTAAGGCATATCCTTAGAAGGATCCTCTGAGAGACTAAAACCAACTACGCCTTCAGTTGATCCTGGTGAACAAATCCTAACCCAATCACCCAAAGTGTTTCCTGCCCCGAATCCTTTAATATTGGGTATCTGCCAATACCCAATTCCAATCTAATACTTACATAGCAGCATAACATATGCAATGCTGATTAATATCTGGACATCAACAGGTGTAGCCTTTTAAGTCATCATCTTGAATTATCAACATGGTACTAAAGAAAGTTCAACAGTGAATGTGACTCCTGAAACAGATTTTTTGGGTTAGGCTGAGGGTTACACTCTCAGAAGTAACATGAATTAGTGTCCGCTGATATGATCTTCCGCCGGCGACCTTCTGTCGTTTTAACCAGCTAAAAGTGAGAAGTTACTAGCTGAATGTTTTGTACACTGGTACTCTATGCTACTGAGTTCATTTGGAGTCAGAGTTTTGTGAATCCAGGTATTATTTTAAGTAAGGTTATTGAAAAAAAAATGCAACAATATAAATTTCACATCTGTAATAATAATTAATAACATATAAAAAAACTAATTTGATCTATCTTCCATTATTTACGTCCTGCTGTAGCTTTTTTTATCCGTCCATTTCATGTAACATAAAGTATGTTGACATTGAATATGTCACACCAAGCATTTGCACATTACAGGCGATAAATATGCCAACTTTAAACTTGATTACTCCTTGCATACTAGAAAACAAACTGCTGCAGCAAGTCTAATAGATTATCAGCCCAAGGACATTGTCATATTGAGATAATTACTATGATTCGCATCATTTGTTGAACAGCTTACCATACTACTGCCCGATTATTTAAGAAAACTATATTGGAGATTATGTAGTGCTGATGGCATGTTTTGCCTCAGGCCTTCAATATTTTACAAAGGAGGAAGCTGTGCGTTGCAGAGGTACAACTTGCTGAGTAAGTAGCTCTATGGAGTTGATGAGCATGCTCTGCCACTGTCTCTGTCTCTCTCTAATAAAATGACATCTGCTGTTCTCTTGTTGGCTCTGGAACTGACCATATTGCAGTGGGAATTATCAGGACACTCAGTCTAAAAACTATTAGTTGTTTTTTTTCTTAGATATAATTTTGCAAGTTTTAAATGTCCAATCTCAGAAGACATTTTTCGTTGTCCCTAAGGAGTTAAAGAAACCCAGTTTGTCCTGGTTGTCCTCCTTCCTTCTCTCCATCTCAGCTGTGCGAGTTCATCGACCCAAAAACCCTTCAGCACATTCTGGGGCACAATAGATCTGCCCTCGCTTCAGTGGAAATTGGCCATCTGAGGTTATTAGAGGGGGGCTGGGGAAGAATGTCAATGACAGCGTGATTTGGATGCAGGAAGACAAGGCAGCAGGGGGCAGAGGTGTTCTTACTGTATAAGATAAAGAGAAAAGGTAACTGTCATAACACATCGATCATCCATCAACCTTCCCTTCATCATGCAGAAGCACCCTATATGCACGCACATGCACTAATGCACACAGTTGTTTATGTCTCAATGTAACCTTCAGAGTACCATCTGTACATTCAGAGCTAGCAGTGTGACAAGTAGGATCCTCTGGGTATAAGGAGAACCGGTAATGATGGATATCACTCTGTACCTGTAATACACAGTTAACCAGGACTGTTCCAATTATATCATCTAACCATTTTAAACTTTGCAGAAATCCAGCATTGTTACTGCTGCTTAAGCATGTTAGTCCCTTTGTACAGTGGAAACAATAGAGAAAAATGTTCGTTGGAGCCAGCTAGCCATACTCAGTCAGCCATCTCACAAAGAACAAGGTAACAGATACAAAGCCTGACACCAGCTATTAAGTGGAACCTACTACAGTATATGTGGGCCACGCATTGACTCCTATGTGGCCATTCCTCTGCTAGGCATCTCTTAGCAAGAGGGTTGGGGGATACACTGTGAGCACCTTATACAGTATGTAAAGAGTGAGCATCAGCTGCCTATTGAAATTGATGTGAAGTCAGGAACCCACATGAGGTACACAGCAGGCTAAGACATCAGCTATGCAGAATCAGCTTCACTGCCCTAGTAAAAATGAATTATGCATGCATACCTACACACAGTTAAAACAAAGTGTGTGTGTGTGTGTGTGTGTGAAAGTAAGTTACTTTATGTGCCGTTCATATGCATGTGTGTAGATTTACCTTTGACAGTGACAGTTATTATGTACATGTTATGACACAGACAACATATATGTCAAACTGTAATGTATTTGATTTACAGCTCATCAGATGTGTTTGTGTTTCCACAGGGATTGTTTTGTGACATTACACAAATGATTTACGTACTCAGGAACATGATGGCACCTGGGAAGAATCTGTCCTCATGTATATTTGTATTGATGTACAGTGAGTGCCCTGTAGCGCCTACCAGAGGAGAGACATTGAAACAAGTTGTGTCGGGTTGTGAGGAGTCTGTATCTGGATGCAGCAGGACAATTATAACTAAAGCACACAAAGCATAAAACATAAATCATGGCTAGGAGCAGACCACCTCTTCTTTAGCAGCCGATGAACATCAGAACGTGAATATAAGCTTACAGCTAGAAAAAGAATACAGCTGACTGCAGCAGCAGCAGTGTAAACAGGGAAAAGGAAAAACACATCAAACTACAGAAGCCATAAAATTGGCTGTGTGTAAGACAACAAACATGTTTACATCCCTAAAGCCAATACACATTATTACCAGTGGGCAACCCAAAGAAGAAGGCAGCAACTGAGGGGGAAATATACTGCGAAATGCACTAAAGCCTATTACCAGCGCTGAAATATAAGTAGGCTAATTTACTTAACTGTTGTACTTAAACGCAAATTTGAGCCACTTGAAAGCTAGTCAGACCTGGAATGACTTCCAAACACACATTAAGGGTGCAACATATTAGAGAGAGTACAGGATATAAGAAAACCTCTGAGTGCTGTAGTGGTTCAGATTTACTGCCCTTAATGTTTATATAGCTTTTTTTTAATGAGTTTGTTTGTTTGATTCATTGTTGTTGTTTTTTTGTACCTTGT